ATAGCTCAGGGTACAGAAGAGTATGAAGGGATGGACACTGGGAGGAGGTAACTATGGGGAGGAAGTGGGAGGGGAGCTATTGCATTGTAAATTTGGGTCAATGACATGAGACAAAGTATATGTGAACTGCTGTATGAAAAGTGAATTTACTCTGTAAATCTTCACCCAAATCAAAATAAAAATTAAAAAAAATAAAAAGAATTCCTAGATCAGCAGACAACACAGCAGGCTGCTAAATAATGACTCAGCTACATGAAGAATTCAAGCGTGCCAAAAGCTGGAGACTTTTCTCAAACCTACTTCTTACTGGAAATAGCCCAAATCCCTAAACAGCTACTCAGCTGTTCCAGTAGATTCCACCATGGAGTTGACTATCAACCTGACCATGGGGAATAACTACATCCAGCTGCCCAGCCACTCAACCAGGCCCAGCCAAGTTGACACATAACCTTTACTACCACAGGTCTAAAAATAAGTTATTCACTTTTTGAAGTTAAAATATATAATTAATACTAATTATCTATTCAAGTGGGAGTTCTGGTAGCATAGTGCCTAAGGCACTTGATTGCTAACTAGAAGGCTGGCAGTTCAAACCTACCAGCCATTCCTTGGAAGAAAGGTTGGGCAATCTACTTTTGTAGTGATACAGCCTCGGAAACCCAAGGAGGGGTCGCTATGGGTCGGGTCCGATTCCATGGCACATGACAACAACATTTATTCAAGTAATAAAATTTACTTCAAATATATATATATAAATATGACAGTCAAAAAGTGGATTCCCCTATTACAGAAGCTTATTTCAGAGAATTTATTCAAATATTTTTGGAAGCTGCATTAAGCATATTAGTCTCTTGAGTTATCACTGAAGGTCCAGAACCATGTGTTTTGGAAAAGTCATGTTCCTGCTAGAACTAATATGTTGTTGTTGTTGTTATGTTCCGTGAGTTGGCCCTGACTCATAGCGACCCGTCCTTGGGTTTCCGAGATGGTATCACTACAGAAGTAGGATGGCCCAACCTTCCTTCCGAGGCATGGCTGGTGGGTTTGAACCACCAGCCTTCTGGTTAGCAGTCAAGTGCCTTAGGCACTATGCTACCAGAGCTCCTAGAACTAATATGAGGCACCTCTAATTCTTCCTCCTGATCACACAATGGCTTTGTGTGAGTTCAGAGCTCTGAGTTAGGATTTAATGCTGCTCAGTGTACCTTTGTACTAAAGTGACTACCCAGAGATACTTGGAACCATGAATGCACACTTGCAAACATCTACTGTGCTTTCAACTAGAAATTTCTAGGTTGGAGTACCTTCCCTTGTGTGCCTATTAGACTTCATGATTTATGACTAACCATTCTATTGCATTCTTTATTTCTAATTGTTTTTCAGGTGATACTCTTCAGTTTTCTATTTTACAATATCATGACTAACAAATCATGTCTTCTTTCTGACTGCTGTATTTCTTGTGTCTCTTGACTTAGAAATCTTGTCAGAGTGAGGTAACAGTAAGCATCTGTAGATGGCAATGGAAGGGCCTCTAGCGTTTTGTCATTCAATATGATATTAGCATCTAATTTGAATCCCATGGCACCAATGCCATATTTTTTCTTCTTTCTTTTTTTTGTGTGTGTGTGTCACCTGGTTCATATCATCCAGAAACTTTTAGGAAAATATTTCTTTCCTAGTGAATTCTGAGCTCATTAAGGATATGGGTCTTATTCATCATATCCACAGCATGAGCATCAAGTCTGAACATAACATACAAGTAGATATTTATGGGAGATATAAATATCTTAATTTATCAAGTCTTAATAAGAATAACCTGAGGACAAAAATGTCTTCTATCAAATCATATTTTTTGGAATTTCAAAAAAAAATCTACTGTTCAGTTGTTTTCTTAAAAAATAATTAAGATTAATCAGTATCTTGAATACTTATCTTTTTTCTGGGATTCTTCTGTAAGAAAGCAGGAAGGGGCCACAATTTTAGCTACATTCTGTTGTTGTTGTTATGTGCTGTCGAGTCGGACCTGAGTCATAGCAACGCCTCCTTGGGTTGCCAAGGCAGTATCACTATGGAAGTAGATTACCCAACCTTCCTTCCGAGGAGTGGCTGGTGGATTTGAACCGCCAGCCTTCTGGTTAGCAGTCAAGTCCCTTGGGCACTATGCCAGCAGAGCTCCCAAGCTACATTCTACTTGTAATTAAAAGAAAAAGAGAAGGTTCCAATTGTTTCTAAATTGTAGGTTCAAGTGTGAATTAATTCCTTTTCTAACTTGCTAATTTTCCAGCAAACATGCAAATAAATAAATCTAAGAATTAATAAATGAAAGAAAGACCAAATTTAATTTAGTTCTATTTGGATGCTATGTCTTGGTATTTTAAAACAGTATCTTCTCTAATATTGTATAATCTCCTTTCTTGGTACTTCCTACTCCAGAATTTTTATATATTACTACTTGAACCACTCCTCAGAAGGAAGGTTGGGCAACCTACTTCTGTAGTGATACCGCCTCGGAAACCCTAGGAGGGGTCGCTATGAGTCGGGTCTGACTCGATGGCACATAACAACAACAATAACTTGAGATAAAGGTTGTCTCAATATCAATCTCATGTCATTAATCCTCAACATTAATCCTTAATCATTAACAATGATAGGATATGGGGAGGGGGGACTGAATGATGGGGAAAGGATTTGTTAAGGAAGGAGGAAAAAAGAATCAATGAACAATTTGCAGAAGCAATATGGTAGAAGTCATATTTATTGAAAAAAATTAATATCTTTGCTATAAAATTTGTAACAGGAATAGTTACTGAATGTTTATTTTGATGCATAAACCTGAATGTTACATACCAAGTACAAGACAGCAGCACTATTTCCTGTATTTACACTTTATGAAAATTGTTATGCAGTCCATGTTAAAAGAACTTATGATGGAGAACTGTTACATTAGAAAAATAATATTCTTGATAAAGCATTCTCAAGGAGTCCAATCACATTTTCTGCCTTTTTAATAAGGCAGAAGTCCCTGGAATAGCATATAACTTAATTTACAAAATACAATAACTGTTCAGACACATATTCAAGTTTTCTTTTGGTATGTTCCCCCCCCCCCACTGTAAAATTACTTTTTTTTTGTCTTTTGTACTAAAACAGAAAGATAAACTTTCAGGGAAATGTTACTTAATGATTTCAGCTATACATTACATATACAACTCCATAGCCTAGCAACAGCCATTGCTACACCATATTAACTTTAAATATTTTGCTTGGTGAGCTATTCCCAAATGTAGCAGATTGGAAGATTTCTGCTATCATTATGACTGTGGAATCATTGTTTGGTTTTCCTATGAAACAGATCTGTCACAGTATGAAGCTTTGTTTATTTTAAGGAACTAGTACACAATTACATTTCCACTCACGAGAGAATGCCACAGATGGAGCTAAAGTCAGGCTTTGACGGCACCGCAGGGCCCCGTGCTGGACCGACCCGCACCTCCTCTCAGACTGCACAGCCCTGGCTGGTGTCAGACGGTTTCATTTCCAGGGAGTTATTTTGCCCCCCAACTTCCCTCTTCACAGTTAGGGAGTTTTAATTCCTTCAAAGGCACACAACTTCCACCTTTTTTCCAGTGTTGCTCCTACGCCTGTGAATTCCTGTTTAAACATGCGTGGCAGTCTCATCAGCAGCATTTCGATTTCGTTTGCAGATATCTGTTGGAAAGGAAGAGAAGTCACTTTTGGAAAAAGAACTCAGCTTGCCCAGAGAAGGGAGGACAGCAATTGGGTGAGGATAGGCTTTTTCAGGAAGAGAAGCAACATTTAATTGTCTACTTGGCTGTCAATCAAGAAATGCCCTTACAAAAGGAGCATGAGTTAAGTGCTAGATGTGATTATCACTATCTCCTGAGCAGCTGCGGATGGTGGAGGGGTGGGGGGTGAGATGATGTGAGGGAAGTTATGTGATTCACTCATCATATGGCAGGGGCAGCCCTGGATGGCCAGCCCTACCCCAGTGAGTGTGTCCGTTTCAAAAAGGAGGTGGAAAGGACATTAAAGAGGGCTCAGAGCAAACTCATCCCAGCTCTGGAAAGCTACTGGTATCCTCATCCTCACGCATGAAGGGCAGCACTCTGATCTAACGCAGGAGGACCCGAGGGGTTTCTCGCTGCCCTAACTTCTTTCTCTTACAACGAAGTCTTAACATCCAATCATAAAATCCAAGTAGGTTTTTTAATACAATTTTTTCCTTCTCCCATGTTTTCTTTAAGGAGCTCTGCTGACCTAGTACCTTAGGCACTTGATTGCTAACCAGCAGGCTGGCGGTTCAAACCCACCAGCCACTTCCCAGAAGAAAAACTGGGCAATTTATGCCAGTAAAGCTTTACTGTCTGGGAAACCCAATGGAGTTCGCTATGAGTTGGAATCTACTGGATAGCAGTGGGGCAGTGGGTCATTTTTTTTTTTTTTTGGTAAGTTTTTTTTCTTGCATAAATTTTTACATCAATAATTAATTGTATTTTAAATAAAGAACACATCAGTCCATCTGCTCTAACAACTGTTGCTCTCAATTTTCCTCCTAATCCTGTGTGTGCATGGGTACTCAGGGAGCAGGGTGGGTTAGATTCTGGAATTTGGGGCCTGACATTTCTGTCTGAATCCTGCACCTACTGTTGCTATGAACTAAATGGCATCTAGCAAGATAAGTAGTCTCGCTAAGCCTCAGCAAATGGAAACAACTTTTAATAAAGATGTTGTGAAAATTACTGGCTTAGCACAGACATGGGCACACTGAAACGCTCATGGAAGTGGAGCTCTGTTACTTTTCATAGTGTGATCAGCATGTAGATACCATTTTAGAGTCTACATTTTACATAGAGCACTGTTGTTGTTGTTATTTGCCATCGAGTCGGCCCCGACTCATAGCAACCCCTCCTTGGGTTTCCGAGGCAGTATCACTACGAAGTAGGAATGCCCAACCTTCCTTCCGAGGAGTGGCTGGTGGGGCACATAAAGCACTAGTAAGATTCATTTCAAAATGAGACGGATAGCCAGAAATCAAACCCACTGCTCATTTAAAGTTCACCTGCAAAAGCTTTCATGAGATTTATTCAGTATTCCCAGATCTATGAACGAAAACTTTCACTGAATAGAGGCAGTGCTGAAAGTTGTGGGGGGGAAGTATTCTAACTTTTTTTTGTGTGAATTATTTTGAAATCTGAATGCATTTATATCCATTTTAGGATTATTCGATTCCCAGGTGAGCCCACATAAGCCTGTTTATCAGATAATTAAAAGTTCACAGAGATACTGGAAAGTGCATTTGCTTTGGAAGGGCACCCTGGGAAGCACTTTGACCAGCATTCCCACTTCATGCTCACACATCCTATAGGACACGCTGCACAGGTATGATGCTTGAGCTCCTTTTACCACTGAGGAACCCAGTGAGCTTCAGGAGGGCTGTTTCACCAACATGGTCTGAGCGCAGGGGAAGTACATGAGCGTGGCCTGGGGGTGGACTGGGTGTCGGGGCGTTTGGAGAACCCTCACGATGGTACACGGCTGCGGGTGGAGAACCTGGGTGCAGTGCTTGGTTTCTAATCACCAATTATTGGGGGTACTTGTTTAAAAAAGAAAAAAAAGAAAAAGAAAGAGAAAAAGGAAAGAAAAGAATCCTCAGCCTCTTCTCTGGAGATTTCTGACTCAGCCTGTCTGGGGTACAGCCCAGATAATCTATTTTTAACAACCCCCCCAGGTAATTCTTATGAGCAAGTATATTTGGGTTAAGAATGAGCAGGGCAGGTTTGGATTTTAATCTGGGCTAGGCTTCTTAACTAGTTGTGGGACCTGGGTGTCACTTAATGCCCGCAATTCTCAGTTCCTTCATGATTATAGCAAATAATAATCTCTCTTGTAATAGTGGGGATTACATGTAAAATGTAACATGATACCTAGC